TACGCTAACGCCATAGTACATACGCGTCCTCTGAACCACTTAAAAATCTCTGAATACGAAACAATAGTTAATACTACACTCGCTGATATATAAGCGGTGTCTGGCAAAATAACACATGGGAATATGGTTATGGCAATGGATGCATGGCTGCTTAAAATTATGAAACACTATGTGTTTATTATCCCGCCACCAATTTCGCAAGGAAATAGCTTCGCGTCTCCTGATGCACTGAAATCGGGGAATAAGAATACCAAAAAATGGATCAGCACTTACTTGGCTTACTTGTCGTCCATATGATAGCCGGGTTAAGTAGGGAAATTGACCGTGAAGCAAACAAGATAATTATGAATAATTGTATTTCCTTACATTCGTCGATAGGACCTAAACAGAACGACCATGTCTTCAAATAGCCACGGACATTCAAAAGAAAATTTGCTTTATGAATACCAAGTTTAAAGGAAAAACAGGTGTCGAATTCATCAATAAACGTACTTTAGAATCCCGAGTAAAACTTTCTGTTTAGCTAAGCATTTCATTGCCATCTCTAGTCGATCTACCATTCACGAATATGTCAAAATAATTTTATCAAATGGCGGTCAAATCAAAAACATGTGCACTGGTGAGGCTTTCGTGACTCACCAATTCAAGTTCAAACAGTATAAAGAAACAACACATCCAACCTTTCATTCCCTTTGCCACTGATTTGTTTCTTCTATATGTTTCGCCTTTGTTTTGTTTTTATTATTATTACTGTATATTTTCTAAACCGTGATCTGTAGTTGATATCCCCAAAAAACGTTTTACAACCATTATTCAATTGTAGTTATGAAATTTAGACTTTCCATCATTCTGTCAGGTGGAAAATTGTTTGTCAAATTTCATCCTTCTGTTCTTATCTAACCTCATGATCATTATACAAACTTCTTTGGTTACCTAAAACTTTGAATTACTTTATGACGCAATGTCTTCTGTCTTTCTTTAAACCAATATGTCTATCAAACAACTCTAAATACGAGTGGGTATTTTAAGTAAATGATCTTGTCGGTAGAAAAATTCCGTGGATTCTGTTTTTATTCAGTCACAACATCCGTTAATTTAATTATCGGTGGAGGGAAATATCTGAGGAAGTGTAGCTAGAAAATATCCTAACATCACATTAGTAAGACAACATTTCCCCATGTTCTGTTCGGCCATCAAGCTTTTATTAGAAGCATTGGAATTATTCTGCTAAGAATTCCTGAAATAGTGTAATTTAGAGCAGATGGAGTTAGATGGGCATATCTTACCCGGAATACGTAATCAGTGGACAAGCAAGTACAAAACAATTATAGTGACCCACATTTATCACGAGAACACGACTGGTTTAATAAAAACAATTATTATTATAACCAACTGTACCAGTGCTTGTTTTAATGTTCTTTTGTTTGACTGTGCTAATGACAGCTATTTTGTGCTTCCATTCATATACACACACTTTGATTGTAACTTCGCGCGAATTCGGTTACGTTCTGTAACCAAGCTTGTATCCTGGCACGATCTCGGTATCCCTTCGATATCACGAGATCGCCAGCAAATATATATCTCTATTTGGTCCATTAATTGTCTTCTGGTATTTGGCTTCTCGGAGATTTTATGGGTTTCTTTGGTTACGTTCATCCTACGCCTTCTGATTTATTTGGCACGTGTTTCTTTGTAGCGGTGTTCATAGTTATCCTCAACTCGACGCCACGCTACACAATCATTATTTCGCATAGATGCCACATCGGTCAAACTTAAACCCACATCTACTGCTCTCATAAACGGAATATAATTCTCATAATTATATACACTAATTATTCGGTTTTCACATAGTGACACTAGGCTCTACAAGTAGTACGAGGAAAATTATTTTCTGCTGTACATTCCAGCGTTAACCAAGAATTAGTGGAAACAATGATTGAACGACTCCCGTCACCACTTCTATGTTCGAGACATTATGATATCACGATGAACCACAAAACGGAATGAAAACTAGCAATAACAGAACAAGTTGAGCTATTCCTCTGGCCTCAACCCTGTTAAGTGGGGGAAGAAGATTGAAGTCAGTCAAGAAAATATATAGTTCCACATGCAGCTAAAAAAAACGATTGGCAAGCACACAACTCATGTGTGATGCATACAATACAAAAGATAATACAGACCATTGGTGTTAATGGTCCCTCCAGGAGAAAAATATGAACTCAAAACAATAATGAGCGCCTCAAACACAAAAATGAGATATTCAAACCTTCACAGTTAAATTGCAAAGATAGGAATTTTAAGAAGTGATTTACGGGGATCTACAATTTCTAATAAGCAGTACCTTATAAATCACGTTCATTGGCCCTGTACACAGTTATGTGACTTGTTATGTCATACACGTAAAATCGAAACGTAATATGCGATACTAATCACTACGATAAAGGACATAGTCTATACAAAAAATGTGCTTGAATAAGGCCATTATTCCATACGTCCACTGAGTTAATCAACCACGTTTGAACGGTCAAACCAAGAAATCATTACCAAGACAAGTGGACAAACCATACAAAACAGATTTGATCACACCACTAATATGAAGTTTGTGGAAGTATTGAGGTCTGGCTTCTACTACTTCGAACTAGATGGAAACGTATTACTTAAAAGATAGTCCAATAAGTAAAACTAGTCATAAAGTATGTCAAATCACGATAATGTAGTATCATGACTTGAGTACAATCAAATTGGTCACTTGTCTACAACCTCCTAATGTAGTGAGAAAGCGGGGTTACCTGATGAGTACAAACGTTCATAGCTAACCCCCTACCCTGCTTAACCTTAATGCGCTCGAAATCGTCCCACAAAAATTCTTCATGGGGATGACATCATACACAGACTGAACTTACCCATCCCCATAACAAATTCCAAATATTTATGAAGGGCTGTGGTTTCATACCAGTTCCAAAAAATTGGGCGAAAATTGAAGGGATTCGAAGTCTTTGGTTCAGCAATGCTGTGGTTTTATGGTCTCCTTCGATACTAGCACCTTTATTCTTGCTTAATTCCTTACGCCCGTTGCCCCATACAGAGGAGGCATAGGACGTCCTCGAACATTCTCCATCGGACTGTATTTTGAGCTATCCTTCCCAATTGCTATGTATTCTTTCGATGTCTGCTCCCGACTCCCGACACAGTGTATCCCTTGGTCTTCCACTCCTCTGTTTCCCTTCAGGATTCCAAGTTAGTGCTTGCCTCTTGATGCAGTTCGGTGACTTCCTCAATGTTTATCCTATCCACCTGAAGCAAATTTTCCTAATCACCTCTTCATTTTCAAGCTGGTTTGTTCTTTCCCACAGTAGGTTGTTGCCATGGTGTCCGATCAACAGACATTGAGTATCCTTTGTAAACAATTGTTTATAAATAGTTTTGCTTTTTTCATTATATTTGTGGTAGTTCTTCACGTGTCAGCTCCGTACAATAGAATTGTTTCGACGTTCGTATTGAAGTTTCTGATTTGATGTTGGTTGACAGTTGTTTTGAATTCCATATGTTCTTCAACTGTAGGAATGCAGCCTTTACGTAGTAAGACTTTGGGTTAGAAATAAGAGGTAGTCATTTCGCCACTAACTGACATAAACTGTAATGTCGAATTGCAATTTATCAGTATAAATTAGTGAATACTGTACCAAAATCCAGGGGTTGCTATCTTAAATCTTATTAGTTAACTCATAAGATAAATTCTCGTTCCTCGAACTTATACGTGGCACTCTAAAACGTTTTAGTTTGCTAGTTCTAACTTATCTGCAAATACATAACTGTGAACAGCCCTCTAATACAAAAAGACTTCTAGAAAGGTTCGGAAGGTGAAGTACTTTTTTTGAATGGTTGGCAGAGAATGGTGTGGAAGTTAGCTCGCTCGAATCTTATCAAATGTTTGTCCGTAGCTTAAAACATCAATGGACAGCTTATGCTCTTTACAATCATTTCAACAAAACATAAACTGCGTCTGCTTATGAAGTAGATACTAGATAAAAACAGTATGAATTTAATAGATGAAATTAAACCACCTCTAATAATGCATCAACGAAGATAGCTAAGGGATCTCATCATCAAAAAGCTCCTAAAATCGTTAATATTGTACATAAACCCGCATACTGAAGATTATAACAATATTTCACCTTCAAGGAGACTTCAGGAAGATTGAAGTAATCTAAAGAATTCTAGGAATTCAGCAAGAAAAAGTACGGGTACCGCCTTGAATGTTGGTTAGAAATGAAATAGACTGTTCATAAACATCGTACGATACACATTGCGACATAATCATTTCAGAAAACTCACTCGGAAGGTTTTCACGATGATCCAAGATGAAATAATCGGGGAATTATCCACCAGCATTCAAGCACAGAAATCAGATCTTGAATTTTACACAACGAATGAGTCCTAAATAAAATGCTATATCAACCGAATTTACCATAGTTTCGGCAGTCGTATATTTGGTCATGAATTTGAGCGATCGCATGAAAATTTACTATTTCAACTTTTTTGTCTGAAGCTTAAAGTAATTATACTTTCCACCTAGCTTGAGCATGAATACCACTTCCACTGTTTTTATTCTTTCGAATTACCTACTTCCGTATGCCCTTGTCGAATCGATTCCACTATTCAACTATTAGGAGCATTTTACTTTTGCTTTAATTGACTCGTGCTTCTCCTTATTTTACTCTACAAATTCCGTTCTTCCGATTTCATGTGAGTGACCAAAGTGTCGTAGCGGCTATTGGTTTCGGTGACCTCATTCTCATGTAAAATTAAAAAAGCAAACATTCAGAAACAAATAGAAAAAGGATGATAAAATTTTTTGAACCCCAAAATGCTCCACAAATCCTCCTGTAGCTGTAAGGAATCATTTCATATATAATGCCTGACAAGTTATATATTGAATATTGGATACATTGTGCCTTCTACTGTGCTAATGAACAGGTTTCGTGAACTTGGCGTTCAGACGTGTACGCAACGTATTAGATGAGGTTTATTTGTGGTGTCTCAGCAATATGCTTGTTGTTTTGTTATTTATCAACAATTAAAGGGCTAAGGTTTAAGCTTAAAAACGGTGTTACGAAGTGTATTCAAGATGAGGCACACAAAGACGTTATTGTACATGGTGAGTATGAGATTACTGCTCCCCATGAACACACAACCCATATCAAAGTCCGTGATGTGAAAAAACATTTACTATATCAGAGAGATAATATAAAAAGCGGGAAATTTGCATTCACAACAGAAGACTTTGATCTATTTGAGGTGTGCTTCGAAAGTCAGCCAGGTAGTTGAATATCTCCATGTCATCTAAGTTTGCTAGATAATACTGATACGGAACAAGAAGTCTTTCTTAATATAAAACACGGTACTGAGGCCAAGGATTTTGAAAAGGTTCGTTGCTCACTTTTTGCTTATGTATGTAGATGGCGAAAGCAGAGAAATTACAACCAATCGAAGTGCTACTGAAAAAACTAGAAAGTCTAGCCGATGAAATCGTGCAGGATTTTGTTGTCATGCATTCGAAAAGTAGCAAAGTGCGAAACATCAACGGTAAGTAAGGTTGATATCACATTCTTGTTGCTTCATATGTGATATAACAATCTTCCGAGTTCGTATAAATTGATGATCAGTCCCATTATCGTGATAGTGATCACTGTTTACACACTAAACTGGCAAAGCGTTGATAACTGGGGTTCCCGTCATTATTTTCCGCAACTTATTACAACAATAGTCATCCAGTTAGCACATTTCTTGAATCTTAGGGTGAAATAGGTTTGACTGTCATCGATAAGTAGCTATTCTGCTCCCCGTACTATGCCAAAGTATTCCGAAGTCGTTACGTTTCTCATTATTTTCGCCAGCGATGATGTACGGCTCTGTAAAGTGGCGGGATGTGATACCCTTTGTTTTTTGTTTGTTTGTATATGAAAACTAGTGTCCGTTCAGCACATTTTTGGTTGACAATAAACCATGTCTCTTTGTTTCTTCTGAGCCTACGCGTAGTTAGTGGGTATTTGTTTTTCATTTCCTAAAACTTGTATTCTGCTTCGGTTTGGGAACCCGGGCAGTATCACAGCCCTCACACATATCAAATGAGATCTGTGTGGCGCATATGTATTTGGTGCCTTCTTGTACCAATATCTGTGTTAAAATTAATAAATAAAAACTTTTATTTACCCTCGATAAGCCAGTCCACTGGGAATCATCAATAGCAAACGGAGTAGAACTTGTCACAAATTTGCGTTGTCTCAAACTCATGCTACATGTTACTTTTCGAACTTGAAACTGTTGAACATTATATCGACAATTTTATAGCTTTAGGAGCATCTCTCTTATGCTATAAATGATACATTGTGCCGAGAAACAGGTGAGGTTGTTCAATCACTGCCGAAAGTTCATCAGACACTAACCTGCCAGGGCTAAAAAAACCTCAATAGTAATTGCAGTAATCAATACACTCAACTGATTTGCTCGCTATTATCATGTCCCACCGATATCGTCCCAGAGAATCCCACGTCGTGTATTAATTGAGAACGCTGGAACTGGTTGGAAAATGCAAAGAGATGGTCAATGTGTGACATTGTGTCGTGGTATGAGAGTTGATGTCTGATGAAATCTCAGCACGAATTCGAAAAGCTCGTTTGGTTTTTGCCCATTTGCGTCACCTATGGCGAAGGCGAGATATCCATATATCAATTAAATGACGAGTATACTGCGCGGCAGTTTTTCTGTTTTAATTTACGTCCGCGAAACGTGGTCACTAAGGACAGTAGATATTCGTGAGCTAATAGGATTTGACCACAGACGTCTAGGAAATAATGCTCACATCTGCTGGGACCACCGGATAAGTAATAGTGAGATTAGACGCAGGGTATTAGGGAATGATGGTAAATCAGTTGATGAAGCTGTGGATCTCCATTGACTACGTGTTAGGTATGCCTGAACACCGATAACCACGACGCGCAATTCTGACTAGTGTGGGGGATGGTTGGAAGAAAGTTAGAGGTGGCCAAATCAAAACGTGTCATCAGTGTTTGAAATCATTGACTTCTGGTATGAGCCACGCTGGTAGATCCAGAGTACTTGGTAGAGGTTCGCGTGACTCGTAATCGATGGTTTAAGACTCTAAGTGACATGGCTCAGAATCGATCACAATGGCTTAGGTGTATACACTCTTTGTCTTCCTTTAAACTATGAGATTAAAATCACTTCATATCTTTTTTCCTGTACTATGTCCTTATATGCAATCTTTCTTTTATATATTGCCGCCACTGAATTAGCTACTACTATGAATTTGGTATGTCTTGTTGAGTTAATGGGGTATGACAACTTGGACCGGTCCACATATGTGCCTGGTCCTACGTTGTAGCTGACTGGCTGGTGAAATTTGCACAGGACTGGCTCTTGTTGGTCCTTCATGACTACCCGGCTGTGGTCCTAGAGACGGTGCAACACAGTGACTAGAGACGTTATCAGACATGACTCAGAATAGAAACCAGTGGCGATCCTGCTGTAGCTTTCTTTTACTTCATAAAAGTAAATGTAACTTCCTTGACTGAATTCTTTCTGGTTGTATTTTTACTAACCGAACTGCTTTTCCCCATAATGATGTTTTTACTTCACTTCTATACTTTAATTTCTGTTCATTGTTGTTCTTCCTTTTATTATACGCATTTTATCTCTTCACAACCTCATTGTCATTGTGTGGTATTTGTTATTTATTTTTTTCAACACATAGATATTGCTACAAGGAGGCACCAAATAGATATGCGCCACACAAATCTCATTCGATATGTGTGAGGGCTGTGATACTGCCCAGGTGCCCAAACCGAAGCAGGTGGTTTTCTTAGGGGGCCACTCCCCGAGCCTCCGGCCTGATCCACAAGGCAGTGGAACATCGTAAAGAGATGCAGTCCCATGGAAGCCTGTGACCAACTATTGGTTCATATGCCATTCGTTCCCACAGGACACTGGAGCCCATGTGCACCATTGGTTTTTGATCCGGCTAAAGCGCCGGACATTCGCTTTTCGTCCTCTCATTTTCGTAAACAACACCCCCGCCACAAGAAGGCAGTGAGTAGGACTTCCCCGACAGAGGCTATATACACGTGAGAGCATTTCGAGAGGGAGAGCGGACTCTCCCCACTCTCGGCCGTACCAGGGCACTTGGGGGCCATTGTGTGGTGCATATGTATATGGTGTCCCCCTTGTACCAATGTTTGTATTCAAATAAATAAACAGCTTACGGCATCGTCAGAATTATATTATTTCCGAAAGGGTTAGAAGCATTGCCTTTTTTGTTAAAAGTTATATCCAAGTCGATGTAATATAAATTTCTATTTGATTCCTATGTTTTAATAAACAAATTTTTGATTGCTTGCTAATCACTTACTAAACTAATGCTGATGAGTACCTAAAAGACCATATTGTCAGTTATGTCACGTGGGTTATAGTATCACTTCAGTAAAAATACTAATTTTTTCACTTCGTTTGAATTTTCGTAAAAGTCAACCCACTTTCATTACTTCTTATTTTCCAGAATCTACTCATACAAGGGTTCTCTACTTCTCAATCCTTTCAATGGTAATCCTCATCGGCTTCGCATGTTGGCAGGTACTATATTTAAGACGTTATTTCAAGTCGAAGAAGCTGATTGAGTAATGTAAATTGATTTTTCATCTTTTAATATCTGCGAAAAAACCCGTTTTATTGTACATGCCTTGCGTCTGGTTCATTTCTGAAATAATAAACTCGTGTGGGAAAACTGTACAAATCTAGTCTCACATTGCTCATCCTTTTTTATTCGAAGTTGCTTGTCTGAACTGTCGTTTCATGTGTAAGATGTATTTCCCTTTAGATAATATAGCGGTATGTGGCTTAATATGTATGATCTTTTTTCCGGTCATTTTCTAATAAATGCTTTTAAAGTCCGTTTTAATGTTTTGTGCTCTGCGGAACTGGTGATTGATGAGAACAAAATAGAGCAACCATAACACTCAGGATCTAGTTAGAGAACTGACTGAACATTCGTGATAATGCTTATTCTTAATAAATGACTTTGAAGATGGTCTCAGTATCCATGTAAGGATACGAGAGAAAACTGAAAGAGCGAAAGCAGCCTGTTGAAACCAGCTTTAATAAGCCTTAATCAGTGACCAAAGTAGTAGGGTCTGTGCACATTCCTTGCGAACGTAGTACTACTACTACTACTGCGTTATACCATTGCTTATTTGGTATTATTCCATAAAGCGCACATGCTGGTGCAGTCGCGATGCGAATTTTCTATACTGTCTTCGCACACAACGTATATCTGACATGCCGATCCATCTACCATCGAAATGCGAGGAAAACCTGACATTTTTGGTCTCTAATATTATATCAACTAGAACCGATTGCTTGATTTGTCAAACAAGGTGTTGTTTAGGACCAACACCTACCAAGTGGATATTAAACGTCCGAGCAATAAACTTTGAACACACTATCAGTGCCAGCTTTTATAACCAGTTAGTAACACAATAGAGCCTAATACAAACATCAATTCGCTCAAAAGTCCATGCCTTGTCTGGGGTGTCACCCGTTAATACAAACCGAAATAGCATACTGAGTCAAGATTCAAATGGTTATGTGCGCTACATGTTTTTACCAACTTGGTTAACTAAGAATTGCATTCGGGTTGACGAAGGTTTAATAGGCGGAATAGTTATTTACTTAGTTTCTTAAAAAATAGTGTTGTGTATTTCATTCACTTACCTTGTCAATATCCGAGTTCTAGATTGATAGTCTGTTGATACATACCTAGCCAAGCCCGTAACTTAATCATACTATAGGATGTGTACACTCCTTGTCTCCCCTTAAACCGTGAGATTAAATTGCTTTATACCTTTCTTTCTTCCTGTATTATATCCTTATACACAACTTCCCTTTTATGCATTACTGCCATTGAAGTAATTACGATGAATTTGGTGTTCACCCTGTTGTGCTAATGAAGTGTGGAAATTTGTGCCTGGTCCTACGTTGTGGCTGACCGACTGGCGTTCTATGGGGTCTAGAAACACTAAGATGCTGATGGGACAAACTTCATAACGGCTTCCCATAATACCAAACGGAAAACTATCGCTATATCTTAAAGCGCAATTACAAAACCTTACATCTATCGAGAACCTCAACTCACTAAGTCTATGTACGTTAAGATTTTTTCTCTATACTGTGCAATTCAATCAAAAACAGATTTACTACCGCAATTACACAACTAGTTCAGGTTCAGTTGATAAAATAAGTAAAATATAAGTCATTGATATCTCTGTACAAATGAATTTGAGAACGACATATCAGAAAAAAAGATATAGAAAAAGTGACTAATTTACAGATTTCGTGATACTTCACAAATATCTACATTCAAGTCAAAAAATGACAAAAGTGCATAATCAACTTGACGTGGATCATTTCCTGAAACGGAGTGTGAACATGAAGCTTTCGCATGCCACTTAAGCAAGCGTTCTAGACATTCAATTTCAGTGAGTAGTGATTTAATATTGGACGCTCCACAAATCATTGCACAGATGTCGACTAACCACTTCATGCTTCGGCTAGGGTCAGAACAATGTAAACATACAGGTTCCTCAGCTTCTAAGATCTGAGAAGCATTGAGATTGTTGCATTCTAATAAACCCGTAGGAATTCAAATAAAAAATACGGATAATAAATTATTCAGATAACTCGTCAACAACAGTAAAATGAATCACGTAATTAAATAGGTCTTATAACAATGCAATGTGCTGAAATCCTAGAAACAGTAAATTTTGCATACTCTAAACTGAGTGACAGCGATTAGTTATGTTTTTGTACTTCTCGTTTCTGAGATACAACCAGATCCAATAAACTTGACGTTAAATATCTTTACACATAGTTTACGCTTGAATTAGAAGAATGGGCTACTTTGAGAGTCAAGTGGTAACATTGTGTGTTAGAATAGTCAACTGAAATATCAAAGTTCATAATGAGAAAAACAACCCAGACGAACCCTTCCTAGTTATATAGCTTAGTGCTTTTGAGGAACGAGATTTTGGATGATTATCGATCCTAAGAGACAAGCTAATTAATATATAGATTGAAATTCGACATTGGTTAAGGACTTCTTAACCATGAATACAGCTGATCGACTGGACACGACTACACATATACAGAAGTGGAAACAATATGAATCCATGTAGAAAAGTTCGATAGCGCGTAAATGAAGCAACTGATATGCTTGAGAAGAAATGTAACCATTTGAGTTATGTGCTTCGAAAATGTGACTGTATGCACATGTAGCGATGCAACTAAATCGCTTCTGTAAAACTTAGTGCTCAGATAAGTCTCCACAGGAGAAAATAAGTATCCTTGGTGTTGCACGTCTGGCAACATGGACTTACTTACACCTGTTACTCCTTGTGGAGGAGCATAGGCCGTAAGGATCGATCATGCACAGACCGAATTGAGACACTACGGATCATCGCCGAACAATCAGTTGAATGGGACTTGTCACTACATCAACTTCTTTGATTATGAAAAGGCGTTTGACAATGTAGACAGGAGAACATTATGGAAACTTCTTCGACACAAATGCACAACAGACACATTAACATACTACATCAACACAAAGAGACTAAACAAACAAGAGGAATGGTAAAAGATCTGAAATAATTTCTGCATGAGATTAGGAAAGACTAAACATTAAATAATGCAGTGAGAAAAGAAAGGGCGAATTTAAGCGATAAAAATACGAAATAGTTATGAAGCTCAAGACTTAGACGGTGATAAAGAGTAAATGCATCTAATCCACTAAGGTTAATGTCACTCGATGTCTCCAATTACAGATAGCTCGAAAACCAAATAGTTGGCCTGTCTCTACCAACACTAAATAACCACATGAACTAATGCTTATCCTAACAACGATGAGAAGCACTTTTCAGCCACATAGTAACAACCTAATGACTCTTGGACTTGTAGAATAAAGTGTAATGAAGGGAGTGTAATATAATACAACCTATTTCTGGATGATTTCTATATATAGAGTTGTTGTTGTTGTTTTGCTCAACGATGAGATGACTTGTCAGTAAAAAACGATTCTGATGAGATAAATTAATATTACCTATATAGTTGACATTATTGGTAAGAGATATGCATGCTAAGAATTATTATTCCTTCTGAACCTGTACATTGAATAACACTTTTGAAACCTAATAAAAATAATGAGAAAGCCAAAACGAAAAAGAAAGTTGTCAAATTAACAATAAAATGATGGGAACTGTTAATCAATATACATTACCTTCCGTTAGAGAATTATCCTTGTCGTTCTGTTTGGCATGAACTAATTCATCATGACCAAGCGCTCTGGATAAACTTTCATCGTGCTTAGCAATGAATTCTTCTACTGGTTTTGGTAAAATAAGTGGCTGTTTGCTACGATTACGATTTTTCCACTGAGATTTGCTGGAAGAATTTGAAGACCATTCTCCGATACAAATCGAGTAGTAATCAGATCGTTGATTTATCAAATCTGACCACCACTCTCTTATAGTGCATTCATTAAATCCGCATGAATCGGTCAATGTTTGATGGTCATTGAAAGAATTTGGAATATAATCATCGACATTAATATCTTCGTTATACAAAAAGTTTAACTGTGTATTGAGAAATGGGCTTAGTAAACCATCTTGTTCGCAATCTGAAAGTAGTAAACTTTTGTAAGTTGTGGTTTTTTTACTGTTAGTACTGGAATCAGATGTAAAATTACCGACCACCATTTGTTGATGCGTACGTTGATTTTGAGTAGTTAAAGTTGAACCCGTCAAATCAACCACTTGACATGGTTCGAATAGATTACGCAATGGCTGAGATAGTGACAATTTTACTGAAGCCTAAGTGAAGAAAACGACGATTAATAATATGAAATGAGTTTATGTACAAGAAAAGCATGTAATCATTAGGTATCTATTCTATTGTAATAATGTTGAAATTTAATCGAATTTAAAAAGTTTATGCTCATTATGAAAAGTAAACTATTCGACAAAAATCATTATACGTAATATTAATAATAAGAAATAAATATTAATGGAGTTGTAAATATTTATTTTTGAAATTCTTCCATACATATTCATTACCATTTCTAGTCAAAGTGATATAATTTCATATCTTTAAATTCAAGACTTTGCCAGAATAAATAGTCACCAGGTTTCTATACGATAAAAATAAATTCCATTTCAGTCAAATCACAGGATCTTCCAATGAGTCATACATAATTTATTTTTCCTCTTAAGAATATGTTTGGAAAAGGGGAACTTCGTTCAAGAACAAATATTTGATTCATGATAGCGATATATATATATATATATGCTGATGTTGTTTGGAAGAACAGTGAAAGCTTCACAACTAATCTATCCAGCTCAGAGGACGAAATTCCACCAAAACCAATCACCTCAGCTACAAATATTCTTCACCATATCCTCTAATTGCGATTCCTCATTTGGGGCATAAATTATTGTTGTATGGTTTACCTTTCTTGATTGACTACGAACCAATTACTTAGTTCTCTTTCACTTGTGGCGTGGTTATGCCCACATTGTAATATTTTATCGGTGTTGATGTTTGGTCAAAAAACTACTCCATATTATTGTATAGATTGAGTCATATAACGAACTACTGCTCACCGTGTTCGCTTATGAGATTGAATATTGGAAGTAGAATGTTCCATTTGGACAAATAAGTGTTTACATTATTTTTGTCACAGCTCAAGATTAATCGTTACCAGAAAATGTGTAGGACGTTAGTTTATAGAGAAATATAACCACTAAATCTAACACAATGAAAAAAACCCACCTACAAATAGGTCTACAGAAATGCCAGATATTTGAATTAATTTAAAATAAAGTATTCTCTTACCTTATTTATGAGATACACAAACATAAGAATTTAATAGCAATATAGTAGAACTTACATCAGCTATTTTAATTTTTTTCATACTCTTCTCATTCCAACCAATATCACGACCAATTTTGAATTCAGTTGAACCTAAGAAATCAGAAGCTTTATCTAAGTTGAGTAGCTCATATCCTTGATTAGCAGTCATGACTAATGGTTGATTAGATTCATGAACTCGAGCATTACTATATGGATTTTGATCACTTTTCAACAAATGTAAATTAAGTTTGTGAGATGGATGAAATCTTGAGTCGATATATTGCACCCATGAAATCCAGACAAAAGGTCGATCGTATAATGAGATGTCCGACGTTTGACCACTTTTAACTGGACGATTGGGAAATAACTCCAGAGCTTTAGCGACAGAACTAAGTCGATGCTAAGTAATTAGTAAAACAAAAAAGCAATGAATTTGTAAAGATGATACCTGAAAATCCATTCAGGTAAATGTTCACAGTCGTCAAATATCTTATGGCACAAAAAGAGAACGAAAATTGTGTGAGGAAAGTGAAGATTTCACACGAAACCACAGATAACTTTATTTTATAAATTAGTTCACAAGTTCTAAACAACATTCTTGAAAAATTGTAATAAAATGTTCGAAATGTTTAGAACAGAAAGTAGAAGAAAATTGGATAATTTACGGTTGATTACGAATTATGATAGAGTACATGATAACCGTCACTTTTTATAAATGTAGAGTTGTTGACGGCTTTTGGATCGTTGTATTGTTAGTCTAGTCATTAAAAGTAGGATATACAGTTTGTTAACAAGAGCGATTCTGCTTCATGTTTATGAAACCACGATACACTCAGTTGGTGATATTCTACAACTATGTATTTGATGATTAACACATTTGGATCGTTGTATTGTTAGTCTAGTCATTAAAAGTAGGATACATTTAACATCCAACGACAACACTGTTAGTGATACTGATGTCCAGCAATGTGCATTCGGCCATACTGCCAATAAATCTCACCAACTTGAAGTGCTGGTTTTGGTGGCTTGAACAAATTTTAAATATATCATCTCAGTAGATCGCAAACCACTCATTATTTCTCGAAGCTAAGACTAGCTAGAAGAAAACGGAGACATCGTCAGTTTATGACATGACGCTGTGGTACGAGAGATAGTTGTATAGGACTATCATCTGTCAGTTCATCATATCTCCTAAAGATCGTGCAACTCAATGCTTTAAGGAAGTTATCAGAATGGGTTTTGTGGAGAATTTTAGAAATTTCACAGGTTGAAATCATGAGTCAGTTGAAGCTAGACCACCATTGAAAACCTGGAAGCACTGGACGGCCGTTTCGTCCTGGTATGGGACTCCTCAGCAGTGCGCATCCACGATCCCGCACCACGCGGGGCTCGAACCCAGGACCTACTGGCTTCGCGCGCGAGCACTTAACCACTAGACCACTGAGCCGGCATCCAACGGTGTTAATGTCTAACTTCAACCAATCCACGAAGTTGCGCCACCGTACACCATTGTCTTCAGTGAGTTGTTATCTCACAACAGACCGGTTGAACTCCACTGCTAACGGCTTCTCACTAGAACTTCAGGAGTTTTTCCTGAAGTCAGTCACTAGTGAGCAGTTGATTATTATTATCAGAATGGGTTTTGTGGAGAATTTTAGAAATTTCACAGGTTGAAATCATGAGTCAGGTTGAAGTTAGACATTAACACCGTTGGATGCCGGCTCAGTGGTCTAGTGGTTAAGTGCTCGCGCGCGAAGCCAGTAGGTCCTGGGTTCGAGCCCCGCGTGGTGCGGGGTCGTGGATGCGCACTACTGGGGAGTCCCATACCAGGACGAAACGGCCGTCCAGTGCTTCCAGGTTTTCAATGGTGGTCTAGCTTCAACTGACTCATGATTTCAACCTGTGAAGCTTTAAGGAAGTATTAGATAAAACTGATAAGATAGTTGACGATACGGAAACCTCTTAATTGTTAATCGTTCTCAGCTTTATCTTCTACTGAACTATACACTTTGCCAACTATTTTTTATTTTTATTCATTTTTCATAGTACAGCTTTTATTACAATTCTTTACAGCATATAACACTTCAGTGCATTTTGGCCTTAGAATGAGCTAAATTTTGTGTTCAAAACCAGCAGTGAGATTAAACAAGGTTAATTTAACCTAGTCATTGATACGACTGTCTAAACAGCTCTGAAAGAAGTAATTATTCATGATATAAACATTTTCGAGAAAGACTTTTTGACCTTGATTATGCTGATAACAAACAACCTACTCAATCAGTTGTCAGCTAGTGTACGTATGTATGGCATGTAATGTACACCAATGGAACACAAATTGCTTCTGTGGTCTGGCATGAGTCTAACTGTTATGTCTATGTCCCGCTAACGCTAACCGAACACTCATTCTTTGCGATAACAAGTGGAAAATTGTCGAGTAACTTGGCAGCTTTGTTGATATTATCATCTGACTATAAATGACAAAGTGGAAGACAATGAATGAAATCGGAACATGAAATGAATATTACTGATCTACGATCAATTTACCAATGATATTCAAGGTTAACTTACTTCAAAGGTATCATCGAATTTGAATACAAGACGTAACAATATAACAACTAATGCCATTGCAAACACTTCCGGTCGAACGACCCTGGGCCAGGGGATTGAACTTAACAAAGAGCGGTATATATATTTACCAACAGGAATACATTCCTGCTGTAGTCTCTCTAACAAAGGTCGTACAAATTCATGCATTACCACCGGAAGACCTAGAGCGGTTATATGACGATGCACCAACCAGCTCAGTGGATATCTATACGTAAAAAATAGAAAAGGCAAACTTTACGACATCGTGAATTGATACGGTATAAAGACATCAATTTTGATCCCGTTTAAGATTAACTAAATGAGTGAACAGCTGAATCAATCTATTTTAATATTATAACTTTCTCCGGACAATAACATATAGCTGTTTCATCAGAGTGAACACCTCGAAAGTGTTCAGAAGTAAACATTTACCAAGAACCAGTTTTGTAACAAAAATTACTGAGGTGAAAACTTATTGCTTAGCTAGCAGGTTTTTTTTAATTGTCTGCTCATATACATTTAATATGTCATTACTACTCCATGAGTGACTGAACCCAGGCGGAGTTACTTACCAACTAGAAATTCATAGTTTGAATAATCATATTAACGTTTTGCATTATAGATGTGCACAGTAAATCGTAAATGAAATAGGTGACATTTTGAAACAGAACTAGCAAGTACCAAGTGCAGTTGATAATAAACTTAATTTTGCGGTTTAATGTAGGTCAATAGGAACCTAAACTTAACAAGATCTATGTACTTTTTTGGACACAACAATACTTGTAACAAAGAAATGATCCATATAAATAAATAAACTACGAAACTGACATAAATGCTTCTCAATGTTCAGAAATTCAAGAGGGTTACCCTTACCCATCCACAATAGCATATGGATAGTCGTCTACAAATGTCGATTTTCCCAAACGACAATCAAAAGTCAAACATAAAAGCAAGCTAATGGTTATTTCGTACAATTTCGTATTTAGTGTTTCATTATCGAACCTCCTAAAGTTTCTTTCATTGTTTATAAAAACGCTTTTAAGCTACTATTTTGTTGATGCTTGAATACGTTAATTTTTCGTTCTGTTAATAAGGGCGTTGCAAAACAAATTTGCGTGGATTAACTTTGGGGAGAGCAAGAACAAAGATTGGTGCAGAATAATATGAATTCATTTTATTTCGTTAGGTTCTCATTAGCTGCATACAACCTAAATTATTTGAAAATTAGAGTTATTACAGATATTGACATACTTATACATAAGAGGGTGAATATGTTTCATGATGTAGCGAAGATTCTGATAGAGTTAATGGAGTCATAAAATTTTTTTTCGAATAAATAAAGTTTGGGAGGGAAAGTTCCAGAACATTGAAATAGTGATTAGAATTCATGGAATTAGAAAAAGCAGTCGATGAGAACCTAACGAAATAAAATGAATTCATATTATTCTGCATCAACCTTTGTTCTTGCTCTCTTTAAGATAATAAAGGGAACTATGTGTATGGGAATAACTTTGGGCTTAATTAATCTTATTTGGTAGATCTAACAAATCATTTAAGTAGTATTTAGATGTTCATGTTTTGAACTAGCCAGAACTGGATGAGAAAATTGGATACTGCTTTTTTATTGTGTCACTACTTGGTTGGGGTCCGCGTGACTATTGTAACCAATGGTTGGAGACTCTTGGTGACATGGCCCAGAATCGATCACAACGGCGTATGTGTGTACACTCTTGGTCTTCCCTTAAACCATGAGATTAAAATCGCTTCATATCTTTCTTTCTACGAACTAATTCGTTCTTCCAGTGTTATATCCTTATATGCAGTCTTTCTTTTATATGTTACCACCATTGAATTAACTACTTCTATGAATCCGGTGTTCATCTTGCTGTGCTATGCGGTATGACAACTTGGACCGATGTATATATGTGCCTGGTCCTACGTTGTAGCTGATTGACTATTGTATCACGTTAGCTAGTATTTAGAATATTCAGGCGATTCATTCAGGCATCACCCAAATATAACGACTAAAACACAGAGTTTTGAAATGCTCTCTAGATCTATTACCATGAAGATAAGACAACAATAATAGTCATTGCAAATTCATTATTATTGATAGGGGATCAGATGTCATCTATAATAGCACCGAAAAGTCCGTTTGAAGTAAAAGTGAAGATAAATGGACAACACACGGGGTTGTAGAAAGTAAAAGACTTCTAAACAAGTATCATCGAAACACTCAAAAACGATTTAAAAAACAATCACTCCGCTTAAAGGTATTAAATCCTACATTAAAAACGATAATATTTTGAGGTTCGACTTATATCAAGCTATAAAAATAACTTATTTAATCCCAAATTTGTGTAGAAAGAAAGTTTAACATCAACTGAAAGTTATCTACACCTGAATGGTAAAAGATACTCCCGGAGTAAGATGCAGATATAAAAGTCATTGTAATCATGAAGTCCATAGTAAAACCATAAAATACTATTGAGACAAAACAAATATTTTTACTTTGGGAAATGATTCAACCCAATAAATTCACGCATCCGAGCAGTTGCATACGCTAAATGATTGATTTCCGGAGGTCTATGACGTCGGATTAAACTTAGTAGACTCTGATCACGAATGCAAAAGGCCCCTGGAGGAAATAAACTTTGAACCTAAAAATATATAAAATGGTTGATCAAGTGTCATTTTTCAAAATAACAAAGCTCATCGAGATGATGTAAACCATGCTTATCTTAGAAGTCGTTAAAGCTATTTATATACTCACATAAATTAGATCGAGTACTAGGAAAATTTGTGTGAGTCGTCAGATTAGGATGTATTGTAGTGCCGATGTTTGATTTACTAAATCTGAACCTAAATGTTGGCTTCATTTCAATCATCGTATTTTACTACTTGTTTAACAAAACCACTAGGTCATTAATTACTCTTAACCTAACTTATGACAGTCATTCAAACAAAAAATGCGATAACAGTTATACACGCTTAACATACCTAAACATAAATGGAAATGATCAAATAACTAGTTTCATCTGCTTTCGTATATTTTATTTTTAAATAAGATTAGTTCAGCGAAGAGTTCTCTTTTGGGTGAAATCATTTTCAAAGCTGTACAATCTCAAATACATATATATAATTATTTTACAGGATGATAATAATTATAATAATACTGATAGTAAACTGTCACCATGTCTAACAGAAGTTTATGATCAGTATTATTATAATTATTATCATCCTGTAAAATAAGTATATGTATATATTTGAGATTGTACAGCTTTGAAAATGAATTCGCCCAAAAGAGAACTCTTCGCTGAACTACTCTTTCTTATTTTATATTTGACAAGTAAATGATGTTAGGCTGTGAAATTTGAACATAGAAATTAGGTAACTAGTAATGAACATGTTTTCCCTACGTCGTAAAATCCACATAAAGGAATGCAATAAATGCACTGAAATAAAATAGAAATCTTATTGGTGGTTTGAATTGATTTCAATTTGTTCTGAAAATGATATGGTTACTGGAGTAGGAACGAAAGAAAACGCCGAACAAATCACACAAAAAGGGAATTTTGTAAGAGTAGGTGAATGAATAATTCTAGTTAGATACTGTTTTACTCAAGTAATTTTAGCTGTAAACACATTACTGACAAAGCATGATCTGGATTAAAGCTATAATACTAACCAGTTTAATCGCTTGTAGAAAAAAAACACGCTAGAGTAATTTAAAATGAATCGTCATCCAGTAAATACACTTTCACTAAACGCTATTAGCATAACGTACGAAATGAGTGTGTTATGAGTAATATTGTCAAACGTAAAAGTTGGATAATAGTGACGTATTTGCTGATAGTTCATTGAATAAAACATACTGAGTTTGCGAAACTTTAACCGTTTGAAGCTGATAATATAGTTTAAACAATGGAAAACATAATTAAGCGCATTCATACAACTTCGTGGCCTCTGAATTTAAAATGACTAAAATAACAAGGAATAATAAAATTATAAACAAAGATTGGATATAATTTAGTCAGTGAAGTTTAGATTAATGTTCAAAACGGTACCGAAAATCAGAAGAGAAACAATAGGACGTATTGTTTAGATTTATTAAGGCAACTGATTGTACGATAGATAGTTGATTGTATTGTTCTGTTCTGAAACTTAACCAACAAATTTTCTCTAAATGATCAAATCTGACATAATCATTTTTACTCAGTAATATCTGTTTACCCAATAACAGTAGTGCAACTATTTCTACATGGCTACCTTAACCGCGATAAATGAAATGATGTTGAATGTTAAAATCAAATATTTAAAAGGTGAGATTCTAGATCTGTTGAGTATCGAACAAACAAGGAGTATTGTACTACCAAATTTATATCAAGAAATACAACACTACAGTTACAACTCATTGATTAATGTCAAGAATCATAGAGCAGGATATTTGCGACTACTTGGTCAATGCATAATCTGTCACGAATTTTCGCTTAAATCTCTTTTCGTCTTATGAAAATGGAAACAATGAATTTCATAGATAATTAATAAGAGAATATTAATGATATTCTTTAAGAGACTTAGCTAAACATGAAGTCTCATACTAAGACGAAACGACCGTCCAGTGCTTCCAGGTTGTCATTGGCGGTCTGACATTGATCCATTCATGATAACAATCTTAATTCAACTATCTCCACAACCCTATACTGAAAAATATTTTGTAAATTCATTAATTTAATAACGTATTTTGTCAAATTACACAATGCACATGAAGATTATGAAAACATAGTGAAACTTACAGATATGAAAGGTAAACGATTATTAATGCATAGGTCTTGTAAATCTTTTAAAGTAATCATTGTAGTAAGTGCACATGGATTATTTGGGAAATCTGGATTTATAAAATGTGAAGAAAATAATGGATTGACTGCATTTCGTACAGGACAAGTAGTTAAACAAGCGATAAACAAAATAGCCACATTATACTCCATTAACACACGACAGTGAAAACCACCCTCAATTTGACCACGCCAAAGTAAATGACCTATCGGTCGTGACTGAGATCTGATTAAATAAGGAAATAAATTATAAACAAGTAGGTTTAAACGTTGGTTATTAATCCACAATACAACTGTTCGAAAAATTCAATCAAGTAACTGCATAAATAGCAGTATCCATAACTACACTAGAATATATCAAAATAAGTCATAGATAACTTCAACAAGTGACTTAATTGGTAGTGCCAAATCTATAGCACAGCCATATTCTCGAAATTAACAATGATATAATGATAGTGTTACACAATGAACACGGTCTCATATAAAAAAAGAACCAAATATTATAAAATAAAATTTCCTCTCAGCTGATTAGCAAAATATCGTCAACTAGCCAAAAAAATGGAGGATAGCTTATCTGAATACTTAGCAGTGTGTGGTCTCGTATAGTACAATACTGTTCTGGTAAGAATTCACTGACATACAAAGGGGAGAAAATGTATACGACACAATATAAATAGCCACTGATATTTGGATTATCAGATGTGTGTTTGAACGTCCTGAACAATCACAGATCACTTTGGTTGGACAAATCAGTTATATTGACTTATATCACTAATCCACTAAATAGTTCATTCAAGACTAATAAGATAGCACTCACCTCTTGAAATAAAACATCTTGTCAATCAACGAAAATTGACTTCACCCAGAGTACACCATCATTAAAGCCCATTGCCAAGTGATGCAAGAACAGTTGTTTTAAGTATAGTAAAAGATTAACGGCTTTCAGGAGAAACTTAGGATCCAGAGGTAACTCATACAATTATAGAATGAATAATCATGTCTTCCGAGTTGGTCGAGTTCAAAAGTTAATTATGATAAGGTATAAATAGTTGATATATCAACTGACATGACATTAACTTGTTCAGACCTGTTTTTGATTGATCAGATATTATTCTTATTGTTCCGTTGTACTATTTAAATTTGGATTAATTTTAATTTGGTTATTTATTCTCTGAAGAAGTGACTTACACTAAGTCACGAAACGTCAGGAAATCTAATTTTCTACTCATTGGGATATTACAAATATGTTATTTATTTATAACAATCTACCCAATGCTCAATTTAGTCGAAATTATCAAATCAAACCTTAGTGATGATACATAATTATGATAAGGTATAAATAGCTGATATATCAACGTAATTTTTAATAAACTCAGTGCACTAGGTATGATTTTAATAAAATTTATTGATATATACAGCTGAGAAATGCCAAAATATACAAAACACCCTAGTTCACAAGGCAGAGACTCGATTGACGCGTGCATGAATTACAATCAGTTCGGAGCACGATGATTAGCCCAATTTCAACCAATTATTCCCAGAGGCTGGATTGAGAAGACTAGATTTCTGTGCAAATTTTTAACAAACCCTTATGTTTTAACAGTATTAACTTTTGCTATTCGGACTTTTAGAATATATTGTCGTATGCTCTCGATTCATGTTCTGATTTAGGATCGGTCAAGTGAAGTATCGTGTCCTAGGAGTATATAATAAAGCAAACTTAAATTTACTTTCTGATTTAAAACGGTTTACAAATAACATCAAATTTTCAGCGGAAACTCCCATTTGAACGTTTAAATCATGAATAAAATAAAACTCACATTTGTTTGGCGAAATGCTGTGGTGGTATTTCTTGTGTCCAATCATTATTAGGGAATAATTCCGATTCCACAGCTTTAGGTTGATAGGACAGGTCCGAATCGTGAACATCTGGGTTTCTCAAATCAGATGAATGAACGGATTGAGCATCGTCATCAGGATTTTTATCAGACAAAACGGATTCTGATGAGTCAGACTCACTACAGTCTTTCCGTTTACGTCCACGTCGTTTAGATTTTTTACTTTTGTCGACTTTTTTCGATGCCTTTCTGAAGTAAAGACGAAGTAAACCATGAAAAGTTTGTAGTTTTATTAAAGAATAGCTTTGTAACGAAAGTTGTTCACTATGGTACCACACTATTGAGAAATTACTACTACTTAAAAATATATCTTTTGTTTTGATCTTATTTTAAATATCCCAAGAATTACTTAAAAACGTGTTTGCTTTGTGAATATTGCGAGAAATATAGATAAAGCAAGAGATAATCGAATACGTCTTCAGATCAACCCAACTATTTAAATGAAAATAAACCAAGTTCATTGAGTCCACAGTGTTTGCTAGATCTTGCTGATCAAAGGAATCAGAATATTGGCATTGATGTGATTGAACTTAGATTCCAGTTAACCGATCCGTGAATTGTGAGTGTTGCTACAACTTGATTACAAATATTAATGATCAGTCCTCAAACGGCTGTACCTTCGGTTCTGTGGTCACAGTCCTAGGTTGTCAAAATATCTACCAACTTTGTCATTTACAAGTAATTCATAAACAAATATCCTTCCATAGTGTGAGGGAACTGGAACTGGAAAGTCTTCAAACAGTACTGACAGTGCTCGAGTTCATCTTATTCATAAGTAATCTACCTCTTCATTCATTAATATTCCCTCTATTTTAACTAGCAGACCTCCTTGGCTTTGACTAAGAAGCCCATAAACCGTGTAAAGGTTGTCTTCTCGAATACTAACACCCAAACCAAAGCTTATGACGGACTTTCATCAAAAATGTCAACCTCAGGTGGCGTTTGTCAGAGTTTCCCATTTTACTTAGTTTTATCGAATTTCATCAGAGATGTCCTTATAAAAATTACAATTTCATCCAACGTTTCAAGAATTGATTTACGCCATGGAAACTCACTCTTTGATCTGGTGTACGCAAATAATATAGTCCTGTTTGGAATCCGTTTCTCTCCATGCAACTGCAAAATTTTGTCTCAGGACTAGTTCGTGTCAACGCCTCGATCGGTCATCTAAAGTAAGGTAGTGGAGTGAGCTGACCACTTCAATTACCTTGAAAGTTTCATCAGCCCTATTGTATTGGTAGCTGATCAAACTCCAAATATTAATTCACCAAGTTAATTTAGCTTATGTTAATTTGGACCACTTGTGGTGTATGATGTGTCATTTGTCAATCAAGGGGCGAGTATACTACTGTTTATTTAAGCAAACTCATATATTGGTACAAATGAGACCAAAATAAATATCCACTGAGATTGCGAATAGACAGAGAAAGGAGGGTGAGTATGATCAAAAACGATATACAAATAAGAATAAGTGGATGAGGGCAGTGAATAATACGAGCAGTTCCGTTAAGAAAATTCCAATCAGAAAGAATATTTTTAATTACAGAAGTTTCTCTCGGTTTTAAAAGAGAGCAAGAAAACTACATGATCACTATCGGCTTCTATTCTGAGCCATGTTTGATAACGTCTCAAGTTACTGAGTTGTGATATTTGTTGAACCCCAACCAGAGAGTCTCGAGAAGCACAGACATGTCAGTCCTGTACAGTTTTCTTCCATATCCCGGCACCAAGTTATAAACTGACCACCTCTCTGATTTTTCCAACCACCGTATTTCACCATGACTGTAAAACATGTCTATGAACATAAAAGACATGCGTAGGGTACAGGTGCATTTTCAACACTGTTCGCATATTTTAGAGCAACTGTGTAAGCGATTCTGGGGTCAGATGTACACTAAGCATGCGTAATATTACTAAGCAATTAACTGTTGAAAGTAGATGTTTTTAAAATAGCTGGGTAAAATGAAACTTAACTATTTTTAGCTTTAGTGACATAACACTGAACTAGGTCTAAATTCAAAACTCACTTTTTTCGAGACAAATGTAGGATATTAGTTATTTCCCGACCTTCCCCTGGTTCATACAATAGACCCCAACCAACCCACTGAAATTGACTTAGACGAGTTTTTATGAGCTCCCATTCGTGTTCACGCTGGGTAATCATATAGCAGTGATCCGATGTTTTGTGTTTCCGTAATATTTTATTAGTAGGCTTCTCTTCTTCTGGAATCATCTTGCTTTCAAGTACTTCACTAAGCGACTTTGCCAATAAAAGAGCTGCATTTACCCAAGCATCAGAGCCAAGTTCGCCAGTGATAGACAAATAGTGGAGCCATATGTTCCAAACAGTATCACAAAATGATGCTTTTTGTTCCACAGAAAGATTTAATTCTTTAGCCAAACAATTTGCTTGACGTCTCATTATGAACTGTAAAGTGATAACAATAACTTTGTATATACAACAACCTATGATGCAGAAATGAGACTTAACAATGACTCAGATAAAAATAACTAACTAAAGTTTAGTTCACTTGCTTCTCAAAGTCTAGCGTACCAAACGGAAATATAATTATTTTACAATGAAACTGAAACCCAACAGAGTCTTAAACTTGGATCGTATTGGTTAAAAGTCAAGTACTTTAGCTAATTTGTAACTCTAGAGCTAGTGAACGAGAGTAATTCAGTTGAATAACCACAGAGAATCATTAGATATTGTTTTGGAATCAGACACTTTTACATTTATATATATATATTTTTAATGTTATTAAATATAAATAGACAGGGTCAACTTAAATAAGTATAAAAAGATTCCAAAATGGGAATTTAAATTCATTGTAGACAATTAATGGGCCACTTTTAGAAACGACAAGATGTACACATACATATTACTTTTGTTTATTTTCACTGACTACCATGGTTAATATAATACGTCTCATGATTGGTGGCTAAAATGAAGTGAATGAGTTATTTCTTGCTTTTGCATCTTATTCAAGAGATATCTTTAGAAACAATGTGCTTGAAAAAGAAACATTATTATGAAGTTGGCAAAATGATATTATCTTAATAACTTAATTAAATAATGTATGGCTTCACTACTTAATAAGAAAAAATATTACACTAAATTAGATATAATGACTGAAATTAATAAGGTTAGCAGGATTAGACTGTATAATCCTTTGTTTTTGTTGGGTCGGCTTCCGGAGAACTTCAACGGAGCCTCCAGAGGCCCAAAAACGAGCCGAAGGGCCCTAGCCAATCAGAGTATGATGGAACGTTCGAGAATTCCAGCGTGGCTGCTACCATTGGTCGGTAGCATAATATGACGTAAACAGATTGGCTGAAATAAGATGTTTATTTAACAGACGCCAACATCTATAAATACCCTTGATTTTCTGTTCTAGAATGAACCTTGGGATAAAGTGTTTCCTTTCATACTTGTGTCTTCTCTCTGGAGTTCAAGACGCTGTGTAGTTCTAGTCTGCGGGTTACGGGAATAGCTTAGGAATCGTATATAGCGTTCAACCTACACGACTTATCAGTTTTGTTTAAGTAAATAATCTGTTTAAAATGGTTAGTTATTATTCGACACTTTTTTAGTAGTAATTAGCCCTTTAAAAAAAATTAAGATTGATGAACATTTTTGTGAACAATTTCATTTCTGCCTTTATTGAATTTAAAGCTTATTTATAAGATATAATATGAATACAGAACTGAACAACACATAATTTAATTTTTCACAAGTTTTAACACTTTTAGAGTAGAATCCTAGTATTCTACACTTACATAATCTTAGCTACCAATTAATGACTTCATAGCGTTTTGTTTTTAATCACAGTACATTGAGTATTGTATCTAAGATCGAATATTCTGTCAAATGAATCAAAAATTTAGTTATGAACATATTATAATAGGGTTTCAAAGATTATATAACATATCTTTACACATACTATCAATGTTCAGATCGTCGGGAGATTTAGGAGAAAAAATAAATTATCTCCAATTGTACACTACTCTGACACATCTCATTGTGGTCCAAAACTCCAGATCCATGAAAAATGACCACAATTAACTTTACGGTCAATAATATAATTGTGACAATGAAACGCTGTTACTTCAACAAACAACACGTTTGCATGGACTAAAGATAGATAAATATAAGAATAAACTCACAGTGAAAGGTTCAGATAACCGCCAAGGACGATGGCTTTCAAAGCACTTTTCTTTCTGCATAGGATCAGTGAAGCTCACCTCATTCGCGCTGAAGAGATCATCATCTAATGTGTTCAACAGGTCTTCACGACAAACAAAATTCATATTTTGGTCATGTGTGCTATCCGACTCAACTTTTACAAATCTCGATGTGTCCGCTATGTTATCTGTAGCTGCCTGGTTGGACTGACTACCTATAAGTTCAGTCTTTTGAATCACTCGTAATCCGCGGGTTTCAGAGAAATCCTGGGACTAAAAATATGAATTTAAAAGTACAGTAAAGCTTAATACATATAACTAAATAATGAGTTTAAAAGTAAGTATGAACTATTTAACGCGCAGAAAACTCTTTACTACTAAAGTACTTGACCATTCATTGGTATTTTTTCTAACTTGAAATTTTCCCTAGTGAGTTGCCTTTAAAAACTTGTTGATTTAAAACCTAAACCACCAGTCTATTTAACAAACAGTGAGTACGTCTGCATATGCTTATTATCTGAATTTCATCAGATAGAAATATGTCAGCCCGCTTAATTATTTCATGACAACACAAAGATCTTAACTTGACGAACAGACTAAAAATAAATGATGAACTTTTATCAATAACTCATCAATATTAAGCATACAAAAGATTAGATAAAGAACCAATGGATTACAATTTGAGAGAATGATCAATTCGACCCTTGAAGGAACAACTAGTGGTAAAAGAAGGTTCATTGGTATGAAACATCTAGGGAATATCGAAACAGCATTTTTTAAAATATATCGATCCCTAAACATTAAACAACACCAACTTTATTCTTAGGTACTAACGGAAGTTTAATGGTTAGAAATCCATTATGGTCACTGTGTTACGTTGACTTACGGTCAGTACGCATTACATCTGACACAATGATTAGAAAAGATTGATAAGACCTAGCGTTTTACCACGATAGGTTACGAAGGTGAGTATGTAACCCAGATGAAACTTATGTAGGGACGCAAAGGCTAGGGACAATCAAACTGAGAAGTGACATCAATCCATAAAGTCAACGACTACTGATTTGCGTTGTGTAGGCAGGGATACAGACTTCCTAGTTGAAAGCCATAATCAACTGGACCGAATTAGATGAGTTTAAACTTTACCTCCTAGTTAATGAACTATAAAATCATTGCACGTTTATTATTCCCCAATCTAATGAGTCCATGTTAAAATATATTCTCCAAGCCTAGTTGTTCTTTTATTGATGTAATCATTATTTCGACTCACGCTGTATTTATTTCGTTAATTTTTAATAGCTATGTTGGTGTGAAATGTGACAACATGCATCTATTCATATTTCTTCCAAGTTTTACGTTGTTTACAAATCACTGACTGTGGAAAGGATATTCCCGACCGTTGTTGCTAGCTTGACGTGGTGGTCGGGCTTGCCTATCGTGATGAAGCAACCGAGCTATACTGGCTGGAACAACTGTTCCTCAAGGTCCTACCATGTCAGACAGGTCGGTTGAAGAGCGGTAAGACTAAAAGCAACAAACCCAAGGTCCGAAGGCGAAGTCGTACGGCTGACTGTACAGAGGTGTGACAGCAGTAAGGTGTTTCCTTCAGACAACCAGCATGACAGCGATGCTGCCTTCCCACAAGGAGGGGTGGGGTTAGAAAAGGTCGACCCTAAAAATGCACACCTCACCTTACCTCACGGATCTCCGTCTCCGGCGGTAAGGCCCTTTGAAGAACGGAGCTAACACGTCGAAAACCTTCCACGAAAAGGCCGTGCGCGACCGGCCTCAAGCAGTTGTCCCTTGGGCACTGCGGTCACGCTCTCAGGTCACTGAGACCACCTCTAATCCAATTTCCTTTTCAGGTACCTCCAGAAGAACCCTTCCTCGGTGTGGGCAACCGGGAAGTGATAACCGCCCTCATACCTCTAACAGCACCCAAGATCACTGTATTCATAATCAACCTTCCTCTTCAATTCCTATTATTCCTCCTACATCGACTTTCAACCCTAAACTTCCTCCTTCGGCTTCCTCTTCAAGTGTCACCATAGCCAACGATTCTAGTGCTCAAAACTCTGTCCCAGGTCTACTGAAACCTCGCTCCAAACTACACATTGGAGCTTTCAACGTACGCACTCTATGTCAAATCGGTCAACAGGCTTCCTTGGCTAAAACCCTAGAGTCTCTTACCATTGATGTATGCTGTGTCTCTGAAACACGCATACAGGATCCCAGTGTGGTCATTCACTTGACCTCACCTCGGCAGAACGGAGAGCCAACGAGATACACCCTTCGTGTATCTGGTGACCCGATGGCCAGTTCTCGTGGACTGGCAGGTGTAGGCATAGCACTAAGCATGAGGGCCGAACAAGCACTGCTAGAGTGGATCTCCGTCAACAGTCGTCTATGTGCTGTTCGGCTGAACGGCTGCGTAAGAACTCGGAAGGATAGGGACACACGTCGTTGCCTTTTTGTCGTTTCTGTCTACGCTCCCACTGACTGCAGCTCAGATGAAGTGAAAGATGAATTTTACAGAAAGCTTTCTGAACTTCTTCAGAAAGCTAAACGCTCAGACATAGTACTCGTAGCAGGTGATTTTAATGCTCAGATAGGTAGCTTAAACCAAACAGAAAGGCATTTAGGTGGATATTTTAGTATTCCGACACAGCGAACAAATAATGGTGATCGTCTGCTGCAGCTATGCTCAGACAATCGTTTATTTTTAGCAAACACAAATTTTAAGCATAAGGAGAGACATCGTCTAACATGGCGACCCCCTACACCAAACCAACGATGAACTCAAATAGACCATATTGCCATCAGTCATCGTTGGAGAGGGTCGGTAGAAGATTGTCGCTCATTCTGGAGTACCTGCTTGGACTCCGACCATGCCCTAATACGGGCACGCATCTGCTTGCGCCTCACTGGACGCAAAAAAGCCACATTAAAAAGACCCGTTAGAACTGAGTTGAGTAACGAGAAAACCAAAAGTAGGTTCCAGGAACAACTGAGGTCACACTTAGGTAGTTGTGAAGACGAGGCTGACCCAGATGTTGCTTGGAAGGGCATACAATCAGCTGTGGAAACAGCAGTGACATCTATTAGTGACTTAAACCACAGAGTTGCAAGGAACCAGTGGATTTCTTCAAGGTCTGTCACACTGATGGATTCTCGCAAAGTCGTCCCATCAGGTTCTGAACATGATGAAGAGCGAAAACAAATCAGATCTAGGTTAAGAAAAAGTCTAAGGAACGACCGTGAGCAGTGGTGGGTAACGAAAGCAAAAGAGATGGAAAAGGCGGCGACTATAGGAAACACAAGACAGCTTTACAGACTAATAAAAGAAACTGGAATTAATAAGTCAAGTGTAAGTGAGATTATTTCGGAAAAAGATAATACTCTCATCTGCTCCCAGTCCAGACGTTTAGAACGATGGGCGGAACATTTTAGAGAACAGTTCAGCTGGCCTTCAGCTACTCTACAACTACCCTCCATTCCCAGACAATGTGAATGGAACATTGAAGTAGGTCCCCCAACTCTTGCTGAAGTTCAAAAGGCTATAGTTAATCTGAAACGAGGAAGGGCAGCTGGTCCAGATGGATTGGCTCCAGAGGTCTTTAAGGATGGTGGTCCAATTTTAGCGATTAGGTTGACTAATATTTTAGCTAAGATCTGGGGATTAGACTTTATCCCATCTGACTGGTCGCAATCACTTATCGTCCCAATATATAAGAAAGGGTCAAAATCATCCTGTGACAACCACAGAGGGATTAGTTTAACAAACATAGTATCTAAAATACTGGCCTCGATAATTATCAGACGTCTAACTAAGACTCGTGAACTACAAACTCGAGAGAACCAAGCTGGCTTTAGACCTGGTCGTGGCTGCATCGACCACATATTCACCATTCGTCAGGTTCTAGAACACAGGCATACCTATCGGCGTCCGACGATGGTGGTCTTTCTTGACTTAAAAGCAGCGTTTGACTCTGTAGACCGCGAGACTCTGTGGCAGTGTCTGTCATTGAAAGGCGTACCTCAGAAGTACATAAACCTTGTGAAGGCTCTTTACTCGAACACTACTAGTCGAGTCAGGGCTTATGGCGAACTGTCATCTACTTTTGCAACTTCAAGTGGTGTCCGTCAAGGCTGTCCACTTTCTCCATTTTTGTTTAACTTCATCATTGACCTATTGATGGAAATAACACTCTCGTCGACTGAATTCTCGGGTATTGATCTCCTTCCAGGAGGTCCACTTATCGACTTAGAATACGCAGATGACATAGTCCTGTTTGGTGAAGACGCTGACAAAATGCAGAGTCTTCTGGTAGCACTAAGCAACAATGCCAGAATGTTTGGGATGCGCTTCTCTCCCTCTAAATGCAAGTTGTTGCTTCAGGACTGGTCTGCATCAACACCTAAACTAAGGATAGGGAGTGAAGTAGTCGAACGCGTTGACAACTTCACTTATCTTGGAAGTCTGATCAGCCCTAATGGGTTGGTGTCTGACGAAATCTCAGCACGGATTCGAAAAGCTCGCTTGTCTTTTGCCAACTTACGTCACCTTTGGCGAAGGCGAGATATCCGTCTATCAATAAAAGGACGAGTATACTGCGCGGCAGTCCGTTCTGTCTTACTTTACGGCAGCGAAACATGGCCTTTAAGAGTAGAAGACACCCGTAAGCTACAAGTATTTGACCACAGATGCCTTAGAAATATTGCTGGCATCTGCTGGGATCACCGGGTAAGTAATAGTGAGGTTAGACGCAGGGTATTAGGTAACGATGGTAAATCAGTTGATGAGGTTGTGAATCTTCATCGACTGAGATGGTTGGGCCACGTATTACGTATGCCTGAACACCGATTACCACGACGTGCAATGCTAACCGGTGTAGGGGATGGTTGGAAAAAAGTTAAGGGCGGCCAAACCAAAACGTGGCATCAGTGCTTGAAGACACTAACTTCTAGTCTTAGCCATGTTGGTAGATGCAGACTACTTGGTTGGGGTCCGCGTGACTTTCGTAACCAATGGTTGGAGACTCTTGGTGACATGGCTCAGAATCGATCACAATGGCGTCGGTGTATACACTCCCTGTCTTCCCTTAAACTAAGAGATTAAAATCACTTCATATCTTTCTTTCTACGAACTAATTCTTCCTTCCTATACTATATCCTTATTGCAACCTTTGACCTAACCACTCCTATGAATCCGGTGTTCATCTTGTTGTGCTAATGAGGTATGGCAACCTGGACCGATGCACATATGTGCCTGGTCCTACGTTGTAGCTGACTGACTGACTGACTGACTGGAAAGGATATCAGTAACTCTCTCAATCCTGATACAGAACAATATTAATACTAGTTAGTAAAGTACAGTAATTCGCATACTCGACGAAATCTAATAAGCTTGTAAGAACTTTCAGTACACCTTCATTAACTAAATAAAGCATGTAAAGATATAAAACATTCTGTAATCTCTAAATAGGCTAAGGTAAACAATTAAATGGTCTGGGAACAAACAGATTTCTCTAGAAAATAACATACTTGGGTAACCCCTCGATAAACACCTGTTGCAGTTCCACATTCTGAACAAATCAACTGTCCAGTGTTTTCATCTTCTATAAGTTGACGATTTTCACAAATCGGACAACTCATTATAGCTAGGGAAATGATAAAAAGTAATATGTTTCTAAGCTTCGTAATTTACTTAGTATTACGCAATCTAATGTAATAAAAACTGTTAATGCAATCAAATACATATTTTGGAGTCACGTTCCGTCATGAGGTGTCAAAAAAAGTTTTAGTTGGCATAGCACCACCCATTCATAATGTGCTTATAAGGTTAACTTAGTTTTACCTTCACAAATCACTTACCATGTACAGCAAGTAATCATTATCATGTTCTTAGGGTTTCGAAATTTGGTAGTATCTATCCCATTTGAGGTATCTAGTATCCTATATTTATTGGCCTTATATTGGTTACTAGACTATTAATACCAGAAACCCAGAAGTAATTAATTATTACACTCTTCGTATCATCATATTATCGGCTGGTTGCACCTGACTTCACAAACTCATTGTAAGTAGATCACATTTGGGTTTAATGGTAGCATCAAGGCACTCTATTTGATTGACTATTTGTCTATTTAATTTCTTACGGCTACGACTGATCACAATCATCATCACAGGTTAACCATAGACTTCAATAGCTGAATTATGAAACGTTAAGAAAGCGAGCAGATCTGCCAATTGTTTACTCCCACCTTGTTTTGTTATATTTTGACTAATAAAGCAAACATGTAATTCAAAATGAAGTGACCCACACGGTGCACGTAGTCAACAACTGCAAGTCTCCGAATAAGATGATAAGGCAATTTGTATTTAAGACGTCATTTCTAATTAGAAAGATTTGGGGCCCCGGATATTTTTTTTGACAAATACCAATCACCCGACATATACTGACAAGTTCCAACGTTCTGTACAATACAATACAAGTTACCACAAATGACCTTATCATAAAAAGCAGAACAGTCAGAAACTGACACATTCAGGAAAGAAAGATCAATGATTTATTGGTGAAATTCTAAATCCCAGTTCAATTAGCTAAGTGAGAAGTTATGGGGTATGGTACAAGGTTTTCTATGTTTCTTCCCAACAATTTGTAATAACATACTCCCAAACGCTTATGTTTTGATATCGAAATGAAACCGATTGTTTTTCAAACAGGTTTGTATGATTATTACAATGCGGCATTAAATATAGTTGATTGATAAGGATTAATTTGTGAAAGATTAATAGTCGTGTAATTACAGAATAACAAACCACAATATATGAGATTAACTATAACAAAGGTCACGATTTCCTTTACAATGACTGGCAAAAGAATGTTTAGGAAGAACCCCAAATATAACTGAACAGTTGAATGCCATTTGAAACAACACACTTTATCAGAATACCACAAAAATGTTTAGAGCACAGTAAAACATGAAAATAAAGGCAAACTTTGGGGGAATATAGGAAATTAATTGTCAATTAAGGTGGTATTGGATCTTTAGGTGAATATCATATTCGCTAGATGAAGCAATTAATTCCTTAGTTGCATAAAAATCATCTAAAGGAAATTAATTTCCGTGTATAACACCCAATTAATGCAAGACTGCACATTTGATGACAGACTAGTTATTCACAATGACTCAGTTTGCAACGTCTATATCGAGAATGCTGTCACAATACATGCAGAAAGCCTCATGCACTATCCATTTGCTTATATCCAGAACGACCAACTTCTTGACAAAGACACTGGTCACAGCAAATTTCTTGTTTACGACCAAAAAACCGGTAGGAGGTTTTGAGGTTGTAAAATACAAATTCTTCTTACATCGATTTATTAGTTTATCTGAACACATAAACATTGGTACAAGGAGGACACCAAATACATATGCGTCACATAATAATAATGAGGTTGTGAAGAGATAAAAGGCGTAAAATGCGTATAATGAAAGGAAGAACAACAATGAACAGAAATTAAAGTATAGAAGTGAAGTAAAAACATCATTATGGAGAAAAGCAGTTCGGTTAGTAAAAATACAACCAGAAAGAATTCAGTCAAGGAAGTTACATTTACTTTTATGAAGTAAAAGAAAGCTACAGCAGAATCGTCACTGGTTTCTATTCTGAGTCATGTCTGATAACGTCTCTAGCCACTGTGTTGCACCGTCTCTAGGATCACAGACGGGTAGTCATGAAGGACCAACAAGAGCCAGTCCTGTGCAACTTTCTTTCATACTACGACACCACGTGATACATCGACCATCTCTTCGCTTTTTCCAACCAGTCCCAATGTCGGCAATTAATGCACGACGTGGGATTCCCTGGGAAGATCTTCGTAGAACATGTCCGGACCACAGAAATTGACGTTTCAAGATAACGACACTAATTGAATTATCATCGCTGCCAATGCCAAACCTCTGCGTTATTAACATGGCATTGCCACTGGATGTCAGCATTCTTTCAGAGACAACGGTGACCAAACACAGAGTGTCGTCTAACATCTTCGACTCGGAGAGGCCAGGTCTCACAAGCATAGAGCAAAAAACTGCTTTCACCGACGCGTTGTAGATCCGATCTTTTACAGCCAAACTAACAACACGAAGACGCCAAAGATGATCCGGATTGGAATAAGACGCTCCGGCTTTCACTATATTTGAACTGATTTCATCACTCACGCCACCACCAGCACTTATGCGGCTACTCAGATACACGGACTTCTTGATTACTTCCTTCTGCTCACTACCGAGGGTGAGTGTAGGATTAGAGTCCTGCCAGTCTTGTAGAAGTACTTTTCACTTGGACGGTGCAATGTACATGTCATACTTACGGACACTGGCTGACAACTGATAAAATGCTGATTGCATGGCTTGAGTATCATCGAACAGTAAGACAATATCATCCGCATACTCAAGGTCGTTCTCCAGACAGCAGATTCACACCACAACTACCCAAATCCACCAGAGCTGTTTCTGGAACATCATTGATAGCAAATTCGAAGAAAAATGGTGAGATTGGGCGACCGTGCTTAGCCTCATTGATTTTATGTACCAATGGAGTGAGGCGGTTGTGTGCGTTCACTCTGAGGTGTTAGTATATAGGATTTCAAGATGTTAATAGACTCAGACACATCATTCCTTTATAGACAATCCCAGAGAACAGTCCACTCCAACACACCGAAGGCGCTCCTAATGTCAAGAAACACGATTGCTGACCTGTGATAAGTATGACGGTGTTCTAACATTTGGTGGAGGGTGAAGATATAATCAATACATCCTCAACCAAAACAAAAACCAGCATGCTTCTCATTGGTCAATATTTCTCAGGTTTTTAACAATCTACGAAGTACGGCGTAAGTCAATAGTTTGGACGCAATCGGAAGTAAACTTATCCGCCGATAGCTGTTGCATAAAAGACGTGAACCCTTTTTAAAGATAACACAACTATCCACTCATTCCGTGATGTTGGAACACTCTCTAATTACCCGACCTTTGTAAATAACTTAGTCAGTACCATAACCAGTAAGTCGCCACCATCTTTGAAAATGACCGGAGGTAAGTCATCTGGGCCTGGTGACTCGTGGCGCTTCAAGAGTTGGAGCTCTTGAAAACTTCACATCGTTAGATGGATCAGTCGTCACGGGCCATGGAGAGTAGGACAATTTGGTCGATGTCCCGGGGCATCAGACAAGCTAAACTGCCCCTCGTCCAAGATGTCGGTACATGTCACTGATTGACGTCCCGTTAGCTTCACAGATTGTTTCACTCACGCCAGACTCCTTGCTACCAGTGACTCGGATGAGATGAAAAAGCCTCCAGAGGTTACCAGATTCAGACGCTTTTCCCAACTCGTTAGCAAGCTCTGACCACCAGGCTTCTCGGTCCTTATGCAAGCTTTGTACTATTTTATTAGGTAACAATCTTTGTTTATGGTCAAACTCGCAGTCACCCGCAATACACCGACGTGATACAATGAGATGTAAGGAGCTTGTAGACACCCAGTTAATGGAGATCCAATAGATCAGTGCTGCTTCATCTCTGGTGCTTAGTGCGACACCAACACCGGCAAAACGAGACGAAGTTGCCACAGGGTTCCCGGATAAACGCAAGTAAAACAAGGTTTGCGAAGTGGCAGATGAAGTGCCAATTCGTAGTACTCTACTAAAGTTTTGAATACAGGTATCGGATGGACAGCAGAGATCGACGTTGAAGCTTTCTAAAGACAGCGTTGAAACAAGAGAAATTTTTCCAGCATTAATTATCATTGATTTGTGTATGAGCTGGGACAATACCCAAGTGCCCAAACCAAAGTAGGTGGTGTTCTTAGGGGGTCACTTCTCGAGCCTTTGATCTATAGATCTAATTCAAAAAGTAGTGGAGAAACGTTAGAAGATGCCGTCTCATGGTAGTCGATGACCAACAATAAGTTCATATGCTATTCGCCCCCTCAGGATCCCGGAGCCTATTTGCACCATTGGTTTGGAATCAGGGTTTCCTAACTCCCCTGGGTGGATCCTCCGTACCCATTGACCCGGTTAAAGCGCCAGACATTTGCTTTTCGTCCTCTCAATTTTGTAACCAACCTCCCCACCGTGGGATTCGGTGAGAAATACTTCCGTCAGTGGCTGTGTATGCGAGGCGATGTGAGAACATTTCGAGAGGAAGAGCGGGCTCTCTTTATTATCGACCGTACCGGGGCATTTTGGGTACATAGCATTTGAATTACGACTTCATAGTTGATGTGTTTCACTAGTATACACTTACACACTATCACTTATGGAAACCCGCATGTGCTCATGACTAACTACTGAGCACATAAAAATGCTTATGTGATTAGGTAGGAAAGGTTCTGTGGAGAATCCCAAGGGGTAGAGCATGAGGTCTGCACTTCAACATCTGTAGTCAGTTTATGTCTACCTTGGACAACTACCACATCAAACCTCATTGCTGTAAATCTAGTATTATTGCAAGTGATCATGTTTCTTAGAGTAGTATGTAAACAAAGCTTTAGTCTAGCGGAGATACTAGGTTCACACTAATGAGGTTTAGGCTGATGGAAACATCCTTGTTTCCAGTAGTTAAGCAAGCCTATTATTGCCGTATATTTATGTAAATAAGTTCGACTGAGACAGACTTCCAACCTTCAATTTTAATATTAATCCCAAGTGGCAGTCAAGAGGCCAAGTGAATTATACATGCAATTGTCTTATCTTATAAATTACCAAAAGTGGATGCAGCCTTAAAAATCATGTACCAGACGTCTCGCAGCTGACTGCTAGTACGTGGCAAATGATGGGCATTTTATATAATGCATCATTCAATACTGCGTCCAACAATGTCGTCGATTTAACGCAGTTCCACTTCCGTCTGCCAAATAAGGACAGATCGGAAACACTGGACATACGTTCAACACAAAGGTGTAAAGGATAGATTTGTAAGGTAATGGATTTCTTTGATCATTAATTTGGATGACGGATGAATAAGGCGACCAAAATCATGGACAACAAGACAGAGACGTCACTGAAGCATGATCTGGCGTACATACAGTTCGGGGCGTGGTGAGTTCAATTTGCTTGGAACTCCAAATAAGTCAGTCAGTCAGCTACAAAATACATCGGTCCAAGTTGTCATACCTCATTAGCACAACAAGACAAACACCGAATTCATAGTAGTAGTTACTTCAATGATAGTAATATATAAAAGGCAGATTGTATATAAGGATAAATGCAGGAAGAAAGAATTAGACAGAAATGTATAAAGTAATTTTGATCTCACGGTTTAAGGGAAGACAAAGAGTGCATACACCGACGCTATTGTGATCGATTCTAAGCCATGTCATCCAGTCTCCAACCATTGGTTACGATAGTCACGCAGACACCAACCAAGTAGTCTGCATCTACCAACATGGGTTACACTAGAAGTTAGTGACTTCAATTACTGATGCCAAGTTTTGGTTTGGCCGCCCCTAACTTTTTCCAGCCGTCTCCAATACTAGTCAGAACTGTGCGTCGTGGTAATCGGTGTTCAGGCATACGTAACACGTGGCCCAATCATCTCAGTCGATGAAGAGTTTATTTTTGCGTTTCCTAGGCTCAGTGATCAGTTTATTTGAATATCATTGTAAGTCTAGCCTCATATGGACTATCCATGAAAACATATGTTTGACCAGTGTATGATGAGTTAATCTTTTCTTTTGTGATCATTTTTTGATCAAATCATTTTTTTGGAAAACTTCAACATGCTCGCTTTTATCAGCTATACTGAACCGAATGAGACGTAGGTGTTAAAAGCCTTTATGATTCAATCTATCTTCTAAAAAAGGATATATTTTTTGTGTAAACTTTTATTTAATGAATCCATCATAAGCAATTATATTTGTTTTTCAGGTTGACGACAATCATACTTGTTACTTACAACCAAGAGGCATCAGTGGCACTCTAATGTTGATATTCACGTTAACTGTGAATGAGAATCCTATAAACAAATTCATTTAGGTGCATGAATCATTCTTATTACTGAGGTTAATTGTTTAAAGATATTTGCTCTGGGGAAATGATGGTAATCGTATAGGACATTAAGGCGAAAAGAGGTATATTTAGCATAAATTTAGATGAGACAGACTATTCGGTGTACATTTAGGCGAATAGTGGATTAGTTGGCTACCCTTGAGGTATTAATCTCAAGACTTCACCTCATGGTAGATATTTAGGTAAAATGTTACTTTTCATGATAGGCGAAAAAGGCGACTTAAAAATGCAATTGACTACAAATTTTTGTAATAGATGTTGCCCAAATATTCCACAAGTTCGTCCATGCCCCAACTTTTTTGGTTTAATTGGATTGTTGTGGAAACTGTTCTGAGGAATTCGGATATATGGTTGATTTTGATAGTTAACAGCATGACCATAAATGGCACTACAAACGTAGTAAGTTGATGGCTGTGAAAAATAATGACCTACAGTAGGATATATGCACAATGACACTTAGATTTTACAAAAGCCAGGACACCAGGTTTGTTATGGTTCGTAAGTTATCATTCAATCTCACTACTTTGAGGGAATTTCGGGTAGCATTTGGGGTTTTCTACAAAGTTCGGGGAAATTTTAAAGAAATCTCCAAACTTCTGTAAAAATATTGAGAAATTTCCATAGATCTTTGGAAAGTTTTGGGTTTTTGTGCCATTTCACCAAAATTTTATATAGCGGCTTCCCCCAAACGGATAAAATTTCCCCTAAAAAAGGGAGATTGAGCATCAGCAACTGGCGTAGGAGATCTTGTGGCCGGATGCGAATATAAGACGACGCATAGAATAGAACAAAACCTGCTCAAACAGACTTCTATATTATGTTCTTTAAGAAATACTTAATTTTTAGTGATGGACGTCTAAAATAAACGTACGTTTAGAGTACGTACTCTGAAAATTAGGAAAGAATACAGAAAACATGAGGCAATCTACAAAAAAGAACACAAAATGTGCTGACCTTTAATAAGGAGGGTGGTCGATAACAGTCAACAAAAATACAAGAATGAAATGAACACAGTTTAATAATCGAAACTTGATGTTGGTTCGATGCCGAAGTTGGCGCTTAACAGTAGTGTGCAAGGTCTACAGATGTTAGTCTAGGTCAAGTCTTGCTTCTACTTCTTAGTGTTCAATCTATGTAAAAATTACATTATTATGCAACAATGACTCACAGAATGAAAGGCAAAGTGTTCACAAATACTGGACATCCCGTCTTAGTGAATAATAAATTAATATGATTATAGTCACAAGAATATAAGAACCTTTTGCTTAACAAGCTTCCGTGTTCAGTAACAATAAATCACCGCTTCACTCAGGTAGGGACCTAGGTATATTGATCGAACAGAAGACCAATATTTGTAAAGTAGGATAAAACGCTCTCCTCGGTTCTTAAGAATACATCAAGTTTGCTCCGAAGGGCTCTATGGGAATTTCCATAATCACATCAGTCAGTAGCTAATTCCGAGACTTGATTACTCTATAGAAGTGGGTGTGCCAGTGATCCAATCTGCTGCGTTGTATCTATTGGGCACCAGCCTAAAAGTCCGTGTTGAACGTGAACTTAATTAAGTCTTTTAGAGTATACTCAAGTGTGTTTAGAACCCTAGGACTTAATAGAAAATTGTTTTCTCCATCCTTTCAGTCTAAGAAAAGACTCACTAGACACAGAATGACATTACGGAACTGTGTTATAGTCTGACCCGTTACCTTCAATTTCGTAATGACCGTAAACTGTCACATACCCCGCGAAGAAGTACTTCACGTAGGAGAAGTCTTACTACAATGGGTATGTAGTGGCATTGGGCCCCAACACGAGACAGTTTGGGAAATGGGCACTCAACATTTAACACGGAGAAAGACCCAACGATGAAGACAGTGAGAAGCTGGAGTAGAATTAATTCGAGTTGACAGGGTGGCATGGCTCAACCTCGCAGGCGTGGTCACTGCTGAATGTTATATTTTTTATCCATAATAAATATATTGTTCTATCTCTAGCCTAAGCTTGTTCTACATCATGTATAGGCAATTGTTACGATGCAATCAGTTGGCGTAGACGATGATGTAACTTCCACGTAAAATCTTATAGACTAGGCAGTTATATCATGACCAATCGACAATTTTAGGATTAAGTCTATTATTAGAGCAGTACTAATATCATAGTAGACCATAATTCTACAGGTCAACCGCACTTGGCAACCTTCGGCATTCTTCTCGAAACGATTGCTAAATACTGAATCAAGGTATATGACTTTCGGTAGGGAACTCCTAGTTATGTATTGTGCTGATGATGACACAGGTATTCAGTGTTTGACCAGTAACACCTAATATAATTTGTACCCACCAAGAGAAATCAAAAGACAGAGTCGAGGAGATCGGAAGAGTGTATTTGGCGATAACCAATATATCGGGATTCTCTGATCTAATCTGGCTAGCGATTGCGGTAGATGTTGAGCACAGCATTACCACACGTCATCTGGTGCGGATGCATGACCGAGCGCCTTCAGCTAGATGAGTCCACTAAAACATATGGACAGCATCCAATGTCGAAAACTTACAGAGCTATTTATTTTGGGAATTTATTTACCGCTACGGTGCTTTTTCAACTCTCTGTAGAAGGCCGAGAATTCACTTTTTCACTGATCACAAACCCCTCACCTTCTCTTTAAGCTCATCTTCAGACAAGTACTCACCTCGAGAGTCTCGACAACTGGACTACATTTCTTAGTTTATTTCAGATATTCAACACATTTTTGGAGCAAACAATGTAGTCACAGACACTTTGTCTCGTATAACTTCCTTGAACAGTTTCCAAGGAATCGACTTTATTAAATCGCTCAGCTCCAAAAAGAAGACATTGATCTACAGCACGAGTTATCGTCAACAAACCTTAAGCTGCACACCAAATAGATGGGAAGAGGTAAGGAAACCTTACTTTGTGACACAAACACAGGTAAGGATCTTCAAATCGTGCCGAAATATTATCGACGCCACGTTTTCAATAGGCTGCACAAACTTTCTCATCCAGGTGTTTGTGCAACCATCAAGCTTATAGCAGAACGGTTTTGCTGGCCTGGTATGGATAAAGACGTGAGGGAGTGGGCACGCTCCAGTGTAAGCTACTTGAAATCTGAGGGTTAGGACACAACAAATGTCCCTTAGGCTCACTCTTAACTCTCGATTATCGTCTCGACGATGTTCATCTGGATTTGGTAGTATGTTGACCAGATTCAAATGGATACTCTTACCTCTTAACCTGCGTAGACCGTTCCACTCGATGGCTAGGAACAGTACCTATCAAGAACATCACTGCTGAAACAGTAGCCAGCGACTTCGTCGAACGATGGGTAGCAAACTTCCGCTGCCCTTCAACTATCACTACAGACCGCGGACGTCAGTTTGATACCTAACCTTTCCGTCGTCTGAGCACACTTTTAGGAATCACTCGCTTACGAACGACTGCCTATCACTCACAAGCAGATGGGTTGGTAGAACGTATTCACCGACAACTGAAAGCTTCACTATCAGCTGCAAACGTTTCACAGTGGCCCGACAGTCTTCCACTCGTCATACTAGGTATTCGCAATGCAGTGAAAGCTGACATTGTATACACTGCAGCTCAACTCGTTTATGGAACGGCACTTCGATTTCCAAGAGAATTCGTGGATCCTTAATCCTCTTCATTGAACAAGGATCTAACCTCCTACATGAACAGGCTAACAAACGCAATGCGTTCAGTTAAATCCGTTTCAACTCGAATTCAATCAACTGATGTTTTCGTTCAACCTGACTTACGATATAGTACATAGTTCGTCGAGACTCGCGTCGAAGATCCTTCGAATCAGCATACGATGGACCTTTCAAAGTTCCTCAGCACGAATTTAAATACTATATAATCGATAAGGATGGAACCAACGATAGCATCAGCATCGATTGAATCAAAGCAGTGCACTCAGAAGGAACTCCTATTCACGTCGACTTTCCTTCAGTACAATCGCCCGACAGGTCTCCTACACTTATAATACCTCAACCGACAGCCAACCCACACGATGATACTTCGACAGTATCAGAAAATAAACTTAAAACAACGCGTTCTGGAAGAAGAATAAGATTTCCAGAACATTTGAATAACTATTGCACGTAAGACACCAGTTAAAATCTTGCTTCATCTCGATTTTCCATGGCATTTTATATGATACAAAAAAGTCAATTTTTATATGCTTATATTTATATATATTCATTATTTCGCTAATACGTGTATTAATTTTTTTTTAAACAAAAAAACCATTTCGTAACAGTCGCTTTTACGCTATCGCATGCACATGAGTTTATTTTACTTTTTTCGCCCACTTTGTGTCTTAACGCGCGCACGCGTTCATTTCGACATGCACTTACATATTCTTTTTTCTCCTTTCCAGGACTGCTGGAAAAGAATGATGCAGTTTACGAGGAACCAAAATTTTCATCGTACTTTTTCTCTTTCTACTATATCGTAATTCATCGTTCCTTATAGTAAGGAAAACTCCGCCTGGAGTCCTCCCGGGGGTTACTACCGGTCCCAAGCCCGGATAAAGGAGGAGGGTTGGGCATGGGGTTAGCGTCCCCATCCCGTAGAAAACTAACTCGCTAAAAAAACGCTAACCAGAAAAAATTATTCAAATCTTTTAAACTCTGCCCTGAGAGTCAGAAGGTCTTCATTTAGAAGAATTATGACGCCTCATGATGAAAGCCGAATTCCCTCGGAAGTTACGAGGCCGATGCCCCTTCTGACAACCAGAGCGACCATTTATTTAGGTACATGGAATATTCGTACAATGTGGGACACCGGAAGAGCCTTCCAAATTGCTGCAGAAATGAGAAGATACAACCTAGAGGCACTTGGGATCAATGAAGCACATTGGACACAAGTTGGACAACAACGACCAGCTTCAGGGGAGCTTCTGTTATACTCCGGCCATGAAGAAGAAAACGCCCCACATACACATGGAGTTGCATTGACGCTGTCCAAACAAGCACAAAAGGCACTTATAGGATGGGAATCTCATGGACCAAGGATCATCAAAGCCTCGTTCAAAACAAAGAAAGAGGGCATTTCAATGAACATCATCCAATGCTATGCGCCTACCAACGACTACAATGAAGACGCTAAAGATCAATTCTACAACAGGCTACAGTCAATCGTCGAGAAGTGCCCAACAAAGGACCTGACCATTCTGATGGGAGATTTCAACGCTAAGGTTTGAACGGACAACACTGGATATGAAGACATCATGGGACGACACGGACTGGGAGAAAGAAACGAAAATGGTGAGAGATTTGCAAATCTATGTGCTTTCAATAAGCTGGTCATAGGCGGCACCGTATTCCCACATAAACGCATACACAAAACCACATGAACTTCACCGGATCACTCTACACAAAACCAAATCGACCATATTTGCATCAACAAAACGTTCAGGAGGACTATAGAGGACGTGTGAACCAAGAGAGGAGCTGATATAGCATCAGATCATCACTTACTGGTCGCCAAGATGAAATTGAAACTCAAGAAGCACTAGACAACGGGGCGGACAGTATCACAAAAGTTCAATACGGCCTTTCTCCAAGATATTAACAAACTCAACAAATTCAAGATAGACCTCAGCAACAAGTTCCAGGCCTTTCATGATCTACTCAATGGAGAAGGAACTACTGTGGAGAGCAACTGGAAGGGGATCAAAGAGGCAATCACTTCAACATGTCATGAGGTCCTAGGTCACAAGAAGCACCACCACAAGGAATGGATCACTGTTGATACACTGGATAAGATTCAAGAAAGGAGGAACCAGAAGGCAGCGATTAATGCCAGTCGAACAAGAGCAGAAAAAGCCAAGACACAAGCTGAATACACAGAAGTAAACAAACATGTGAAGAGGAGCATCAGAACCGACAAACGTAAATATGTGGAAGATTTAGCAGTGACGGCAGAAAAGGCTGCAAGAGAAGGAAACATGAGACAACTGTATGACACAACAAAGAAACTCTCTGGAAATCGCCACAAACCAGAACGACCAGTGAAAAGCAGGGAAGGCAAGGTAATCACCAACATTG